AGCTCTTCCATACATGAACCTTCCTCTGTGTGAAAAAGTTGCTCCTTAGGACCCTTTTAAATCTTTCCCCTCTATGTCCTCTAGTTTTGGACTCCCCTACCCTGGGGATAAAGACCTCGGCTATTCACCCTATCCATACCCCTCATGATTTTATAAAGCTCTATAAGGTCACCCCTCAACCTCCAATGCTCCAGAGAAAATACTCCAGCCTATTCAGCCTCTCCCTATAGCTCAAACTTTTCAACCATGTTAGTTTAAACTGGGTAGTGGGAAGATACTGTTTGGGGAGCATAGTAAAACCAGCCTGAATTAAGTTCACAGAATTTGAAGAGGTAGAGTATCTTATAAATTACGTCTAGAAGTGGGGATAATCTGTGATGATTTTATTTTAACATTTTAAAATCTATCAATGGTGTATTATGAAAGTGTGTAAAGTTCACTGAAATGCCTGTTTGAAAAATAGAAACATTAAAATATTTCCGGGGCGACTGGCATGGAGTAAGGGATGTGGGGATTTGGAAATCCATGATCCATGTAGCAATGCAGCATTAATTTAATACTCCTTCAGAACTGCATTTTCCCTTCCGGGCTTTCAAAAGTGTCTTGCTGCAATATAACAAAGGAAGAGTGGCACTTTGAATTTGTTATAGCATTAAGCACAACATTGAACAACTTGTCTCCTCATGTGTAAATCAGGATGATTTGAGGTGCCAACATGTTGTAATTTTCCAGTGTCGAAACTGGATTTACATAGATGCATAGTAGCGCTCCGAAAGCTTGTGATTTTAAATAAATCTGTTGGACAATAACCTGGTGTCATGTGACTTTTGACTTTAGCAAAAGAAGTGCCATTTGTGTCATGAAGAGCAGGAACAGCTATTACAGAGGGCGATGATCATATCAGGTGTAACCATGTCAATAATACAATAAAATGTTAAAAGCCTATCCTGAGAGGAGAGATTTGACAAACTGCTGAGAAATTAGAATACAAGTTGCCTTTTTACATTGATTTCAGAAAAGAAATCTCTCAGTTACTCCTGATAAACTACTGAAAAATTAGAACACATGCTGCTTTTTACACTGATTTCACAAAAGAGATCCCTCAATTACTCTACAAACAAGCCTACTGGTGCACTTACACCTGCAAGTTATAGATGTAAAATGAAATTAATAGTGGACAGAAACATTATAGTGGTATGTGTCAAAAGTTTTAAATAGAGGGGAAGTTATGATGATGAAAAAAAAATCTCTGCTGGAGAATGCGGGCATCGATCCCGCTACCTCTCGCATGCTAAGCGAGCGCTCTACCATTTGAGCTAATTCCCCGCCCGCTGTTACACCTTTTTGTAATGTTGTTGGTCTTTCCGGTGAATGTTATGTTTCGTTTGTAGTGATTGACAGAGGTCTGAGCCAATAGCAGCCAGAGGCTTGTGAAGCCGCCGTGCACACGTAAGCCAATCAGAATTGGAATGAGGCGGGAGGGGCGTTCCGCTGAATGAAACCAGCGCAGGTACTTCCGGATTGTCTCCCTCAGAGTGCAACTGAAGCAGGACAGTGCAACATGAGCCGCAATGTAGATCTGTGCTAACACATGTATCATCAGTGCACTGTCACTTTTACAAATTTCAGCGTGGATCAAAAGTCAGACATTAAATGACATCGAGTGCCATGACCTGGTAGAAAATATACCTCTTCCTCTCTATTAAATTCATGTTACTGCAGAATTGGGAGATTAAATACGAACCAGGAGTAAGACTGACTGGTTTCTGTTTGAGATAACACACTAATAGGCTCGTCTTGTTATTTTTCTTTCTTATTTAATGTGCTATCCGTCGCTAATCCAATCTGGAGGTCCGGAGCACAATAATGTAAAGAGGAACACAGCAGGAACATGCTCATAGACAATGCATGAATTCAAATTTCCCAGTAAATAAAAAAACCCAATTCGTTTTGATTCTCCCAGACATTTTCAGTGGCACTTGTTGCTCACAAGTGAAGAAGACTTTGTATAAAACGTCTCGGTTTTACTGTGCTCCTACTTATGCCTTCATTTGTAACAAACAAATTGATATTGTAATGTTCTACGCATGTTTGTCATGGCTGGCAGGGATAGAAGCGCGTCTTCAAAAGGAGCTCTCAGACCATTTCTATCTGTTTCATGATAATCTCAACATTCCAGAAGATGCTTAAAAAGTATGATCTAGCCAAGATCTTTTTAGAAGATTGGGAGAGAATTTGATAACGTGACAAAAATGATCCAAAGGTCTCAACAAATTGCCTCACGACCAGATAGTGACTTGCACCGTTAACACCATTTCCAATAGACCTGCTTGGAGCTGAGTTGAATTATTGTTTGGTCTTCCGCCGCTTTCTGCTTGCTTTTTAACAGTACTTGGCAGTTTTATGGACAATATTGATGAATAATTTATTAGAAACATGTGTTTTATGATTACGTGTGTAGAATTGATCTGACTCGGCAGGTAGTATTTACTATTACCCAGGGCAAAGTCGAATGCTAAGAAAGAAGCTCTCCACTCCTACTCATTTAAAGCACACAGCTCCCTGTTGGATTGGATTTTCCAGTCAGTAGGCACGGCCCGCAGTCGTACACTCTGACCATTAAGTGGCATTGTTGGTCAGTTTTATAGAGTCATAGAAGCTGTACAGCAGGGGAACATACTCTTCGGTCCAACTCCTCCATGCTGACCAGATATCCTAAATTAATCTAGTCCCATTTGCCAGCATTTGGTCCGTATCCCTCTAAACCCTTCCTTTTCATATACCCATCCAGATGCCTTTTAAATGTTGTAATTGTACCAGCGTCCACCACTTCCTCTGCCAGCTCATTCCATACACTCACCACCCTCTGTGCAAAAAAATTGCCCCTTAGGTCCCTTTTAAATCCTCTCCTACTCACTTTAAACCTATGTGCTCTTGTTTTGGACTTCCCTACCCTGGGAAAAATGAATGGTCATTCACCTAAAGCTGATATCTGGACATGCCAGAATTTGCAATAGCACCATCATTCCTCCAAAAATTATCAGCAATTTCTGGAGACCATGCATGAGCAGTTTAACGTAGAAATCCAAAACTTGTTCTGATTCTATCCACGTAGGATGTGTTATTTCAGCTCCAAGTCACTCCAACAAAAATCAAGTAGAATTCATTGAACTGAGGATAATTTAACATTTAGCAGTTCTGAGGAAGGGTCTCCAGACCCGAAATGTTAAGGAAGGTGCTCCTTTTCTGATGAAGGGTCTAGGCCCGAAACGTCAGCCTCTCTGCTGCTTTTCTGATGAAGGGTCTAGGCCCGAAACGTCAGCCTCTCTGCTCCTTTTCTGATGAAGGGTCTAGGCCCGAAACGTCAGCCTCTCTGCTCCTATGATGCTGCTTGGCCTGCTGTGTTCATCCAGCCCTGCACCTTGTTGTCCCGAAACGTTAACTCTGTTTTCTCCTTCACAGATGCTGCCAGACCTGCTGAGCTTTTCCAGCAACTTCTGTTTTTGTTCCTGATTTACAGCATCCGCAGTTCTTTTGATTTTTATTTAGCATTTACAAAGTCGGTGTTCCTGTAAATACGCCTGAAAACACTTATTGAATATAATACAGCTGGGCTTTTAACAGTGCACTAAGTTCATAATGCTGAAAGTATCTTGATTTGCGAAACAAACTTTATATCTGTGGAATGTCAACTTTCTCCATTACGATAAACAGAATTGCAATTGCAAAAAACAAGCCATTTCACCTTCAATCTTAAAAGTGTATGTTCCAATTATGTGTTTCCATTTCTGTAAAATTTGACTAAAAGTGAAGGGTCAATGCATTTTAGAATTGGCTGGCTCCTCCTAGGTGATGCGCCTCTGGTGATGTATTTTTTTCCGCCAGTTGCGTAGCATCAATTACAACATGCAGTTCCTGTTTATTGACTCCAAGGGTTTGCAGGTCACCCTCAGGAAGCTGCCTGTCTTTTACCAGCACCTGATCACTGTCTGGGACACAGTTGACTCGTTACGGGCCCATCCACTGTCAAGAGTGTGGCCATTGTCAGAGAGCCGTTGCTCAGGAACCCTGCACCCCCACCACTGGGGATTTGCATGGCCGGGGAAAGGGAGGGCTGTGGCCGCAATTGTAGCCACAGTTGGGGGACGAGCTGGGTGGCCAGGGTCTGGGCTGGGTGCTGCTGCAGGAATTGGCACACAGGGCAGTGGTAGACGTCTGCTCGCGACCACTGCCATCCAACGCCTTAGCACAGCGGTGCTCGGACCCGACATCGTGTACCGGTTGGAGGATGCTCAGGTGGTGTGCGGTGGATCCCGTCTGTGCATATCCCGGCCCCGGACGGAAATTCACGTCGGCCCCACCATCCCATACTTCTCCCGGGCACCTGTGCTCCACAACCTGAGCTGCCTCCAAAATATATATGTACTTTAGGGAAGTGGAACGGTGGGTCCTGTACAGATTGCTGCTGCACACCGTCCGTCTCTTCTTCTTCACCCACCGCCCAGACACGCCTTGGCGTGCCCATTTGCTACTTGGTGGTGGAGATCCACAGTGGAGGGCTCAACCACAGATTGCAGTGGACTCCCAGCCCCATTGTTTGTTTTGCAGTTGTGTAGAGTCCATGGACCATGTCTATGTTGGTTGTGGGCATTTGCACTCCCTTTTTGATTATCGAAAAGGCCTCCTCCTTTGTTTTTGGTTGCACTTCAGCCCCACGCTCCTGATCTTTGGGCACCTGGTGCAGAGAGGTACGGGTAGTTCAGAGGATCTCCTCTTGGGTCTGCTCCTGGGCCTGGCCAAGCTGGCCATTAACAGGTCCAGGCAGTGCGCCGTGGAGCGTGCCATTTCTGCAGACTGCCTGCCCCTCTTCTGTGGTTATGTTTGAACCCGGGTGTCCCTGGAGTGTGAGAACACGGTGTCAGCCAACACTGTCGATGCCTTTAGGGAGAGGTGGGCAGTGGGGGGGGGGTGGGGTGGAATGCTTTATTTCCCCCTTCCAATTCTATTTTGAGTTGATCCCTACCCTCCCCTTCACTTTTCTTTTGGCTAAGCAATGGTCCGACCAGGCTTTGCTTGACACTGATTCCCTGGGTGTTTTTCCTGGTGGTGGAAATGTTGAATAAGATTATTTTTGCACACATGTTTTTACTGAGTCCTGCAAGGAAAAAAAAAATAGAATTCGCTGGTCATTGCTTGATGGCATTTCACTGGTGCTAAATGCTTGGGGTGCTAAATGCTTGGGGTGCTAAATGCTTGGGGTGCTAAATGCTTGGGGTGCTAAATGCTTGGAGATCCCCTTGACTTGGCACCAGCTGAAAAGCACCATCTGAAAATGGAAAATTGATAATAGAGATCGCTAAATCTTTACGGGCAGCAATTTATTTGCTGTCTGAGGTATGTTCTGTTGTTTCATTGCTGAATGCAAAATCCAGAGGATAATACGTGTATTTTTGTATCCACAGACATTGGCAGATTTGAGGGACATTTTCCTTTAGATTAGTTGTTCCTTTAAATTGCATCCAAAAATTTAAAACAAAAAATTGCTCCAGAGGCCGATTATTAAACTTTATATATTTACACCATGGAAAACATGAAGTTTTTAGTGTTTAATGTGTTAATTACTTTGGAAACAACTTACGCTTCATGAATTACAGTGGTCAGAGAAGGGGGCTCACAGACCTTCTCACAGGAAGTTAGGGATGGGTGATAATGTTGGCCTTGACAGTGATGCTCACATCCTATGAATGAACATATAAAAAGTTACAATGAGTCCTCGCCCTGTTGCTAAAAGGAAAATCCTTGAGCATTCTGGTTTGCCACTGGACCGTAAGCATCAGTATTTCTGGTATATTTCTGGAGTTCTGAGGAGTATTTTCACCATATTCTGCTTTTGTTTCATCAGTTCTGACACTCAAAGACCTCTCAAAAAAACATTGTCACCCAATGTATTCTGAACATCTTTATTTTACACAAGAATATCAATTGAAAGAGGGAACACAATTGTGCACCTTCCAACCCACGACCACTTCCATTTAGAAGGACAAAGGGAGCAGATACATGGGAACTCCATCCCCAGCAAGTTCCCCTCTAAACCACTCACCATCTTGACTTGCAAATATATCAACATTCCTTCACTGTCACTGGGTCAAAATCCTGGAATTCCCTCCCTTAGAGCATTGTGGGTCAACCTACAGCAGATGAACAGTAATGTTTCAAGAAGGCAGCTCACCACCAGCTTCTCAAGGGCAACTAGGGACGGGCAATAAAAATGCTTGCCCAGTCAGCAACATCAACATCCCATGAGTGAATAAAAATAAATCTGAAATGACAATAACCCATGAATCAGCTATAAGGTAATTCGGTAACATAAGAGAAATACATGTAAACAAGCACACATTTACAAACTCCAGTAAATGTCAGGCTGTTAAAAAGACAAATTAATTGTGGAAATTTTATTTCATTTTTAATCAAACGGTAAGCATATAAATGAAAAGATCATTTGAAATATTAATTACCCCTGGTGAGATGCAGGCAGCATTAGTGACCCTATTTTGGAAAGACTATTCACATATTGGACAGGGTGCAGAGAAGGACTGGTTGATCTCAAAATTTAAGAAGATGCTGCAAAAGTAAAAACATGGACTATCCAAGATTATCCTTTTCCCTTTTCGGAAAGAGAAGATTGGAACAGGATATGATAGCAGGTGTTTTTTAAATAATTCTAATTCAGATTCTAAACAAGGCCTCATACCTAAAATGCACTGTCTGACCTGGGATGTCACCTCTGAGGGAACTAATAAAATCTTTAGTTATCTCGGGGCAGCGACTTGAAAGAACTTCGGGAATTTGCATATTAATCCTTTCTAAAGATTTAACAGCCATCTTATGTTTGTTCAAAACCGCATCAGTTCTATGACCCTTTGATCTTTTGCCTATAAATGTGTCCGCTGCCACCTCTCTCACTGATACCGGAAGAAGGAGGGAGACTCCAAAAGCTTGTGTCTTCAGATAAACCTGTTGGACCATAACCTGACACTATGGATAGGTGGGCTAGGCAGACCTAAAACCTCATCCTGCTTGCAAGTGTTATTGAGTTATCTGCTGTTGCCAATGCATCTATCCACATGTTAAAAGTCCTTAAATTTCAAGTAATTACAGCCTTTGCTAGCCCTTCAGCATTGACGATGACTTGATTCCACTCCAGTTCAATGCATTCTTAAACAGCCGATGAGTCTAATGCATGATCTGCAGGCTTTGCCACAAGGAAGAGGTGGTGCTTGAAGGCTTGGAAAGAGGACATCACACTCCTTCAGACACCTTGACTTCACCTCTGCATGTTCCCAACAAAATTTCTTAATGTGTTCAGTGCCTTCTCCTTTTGATTGGTCACAAGCTAGAATCTCCTAGAGATATGTCTGACCACTTCAGAGATGCTTTGAAGTCATACCTAACATGCTCCAGCATCCTAAGTCGAACAGTTGCTTGGGGGACTGGAAGCAATCTTAGAAATGACATGCCTCATCCAGAGGAGCTCAAGTGATTCCAATAATTCATTTCTGTGAGACTTTTCAGTCATTCTCCTTTCATTTTACAATCTGACCTGAAAGCACAATTAGCCTTTGTAGCCCTAGGGATGGAAAATAGTTTAAAAACAATAGCACCTAACATCAGAATTAATAGTGTATGCTACACTGTACCAAGAATTGAAAGGTTACATTATGGGGAAAGGTTACAAATACTTGTGTTCTATTCAAGTTGGGCTGAGGTGATCTGACTGAGGCATTTAAAATGTTGAAGGCTTTTGACAGTCAAGAAAAGGAGAACAGGATTTTAAAATTAGAATTAGGACAGTCAAGAATATACCCAAAAGTACTGTATAGAGTCATACAGCCATGAAAACAGACCCTTCAATCCAACCAGTCCATGCTGACTGTAATCCCAAACTAAACTAATCCCATCTGCCTGCGCTTGACCCATATCCCCCCAAACATTTCTTATTCATGTACTTGTCCAAATGTCTTTTAAACGTTGTAAGTGTACCCACATCCACCACTTCCTCTGTACGTTCATTCCACACACAACCCACATGCTGTGTAAAAAAAGTTGCCCCTCATGTCTTTTTAAAATCTTTCTCCTCTCATCTTAAAAATATGCTAAAAAGGGACGGTGGAACTCTGGGATCCTGTCTTTGATTTTGAAAACTTCTGTCAGATCTCCTCTCAGCCTCTTTCTGTCCAAGGAAAACAATCCCAGCCTATCCAATCTTTCCTCATAGCTCAAACCCTTCAGGAAGCATCCTGGTCAATCCCCTTTGCACCCTCACTAGTGCAATCACATCTTTTCTATCAGGTGGTGACCAGAACTGCACACAGTACTCAGTCAGTGTAAATCGGTTCTGAGGTTAGAAGTTATCTGATTGGAAAAATAGAAAATAACTCAATGGAAACTATGGAAACTATAATTCAGCGGACAGTGACTGCGCGATAAGTGAAATGGGATGATTTATTTCCTTCGTTTAATGTATAAGTTTCCTACAAAATGATAATAGTGTTCAGTATATAGTGTTTTTAATCATTTGTTATGGCAAAAGTTTTAAAACATGAAATCTCGTTGTGTCATCCTTTTATCTAATAACTGGAAATTTGAGTTTCTTTTTAAACTTTACCAGTCTCTGCAGAAAGCATAACATACTGTAAATTACCAAAGGGAGCACCATATAACATTTGGTGGAAGTGTATTAAAAGATAATTTACTTATTTTTCATGTATTTGTAAATTTTATTTAATCACCAAACACCTATGGAAGAATGAAAAGTAATGAGAGATCATCTTTGTTTACATTTCTCCTTTATTCATCGCTTTGTTGAAAACCCAGCAGGAAACTTTCAAATGAACATCACACCTTTTGCTGAAAGAGTAACCACAATAATAGCACCTGTGTGAGAGAGTTACAGGTTTGCACTTACAGAAAGGTATTGTTGTGAGTTTATCTGCAATAATCAGCAAATCCTGCAGGCTTGCCAAATGCAATGCATGCTGAACGCTTTCTCCAGTGGAGTCAATGCAGAATGGCACAATCACCAATGGACTAATTACCATAGTGACACCATGCCTGTGCCTACAGGTCTGTAACAATATTTGTGAATTATTCATTTTAGTTGTGCCTGTGTTGAGTCACAGATTGAGGGCCAACTACTTCCTTACAGAACTGTCCCATACGATTCGCAATTTCAGCTGGAGTGGGGTAGTGGATGGGAGGGCTGGTAGTGTGGGTGGGAGGTGTTGCTCACCCTCACTGCTGGCACAGTGCATACAGAAGGGAGTAGCCTTGCTCCCAACTGCAACCAAAGGCAGCCATTTTGGGTTCTCCCATCTCGATTCTTCAATATGTTCAACAGACATGGAAGGTCCTTCAAATGTATCAGAAACTCGACTCAACACATGAATCAAGGTGACAATCGAAGAGGGTGAGGAAAAGACACCATTATTCCCACAAGAACATCTCCTGGCCAGCGCATCTACTTTTAGCACCTGCCCACTTCCACACCTGGCCCTGACAGGAGATAAGAATCAAGTTCCTGGTCTCAGTCTTTTACACTGCAAGGTCCAAAGGAGAGTCTAAATTCCCTTTACTGCCTCTGCTCAACCTCTCTATGCTTCCCCTTCCCCTTCCATGAAACTGTGCTCATCATAATAACATTGTAGGGAAGCTAGAATGACACCAGAATTGTTCGATTAAAAATGTGCATGACCACTGCTGTGCATTTTTGCGAGAGATAAACTTGAGGCTCCTGTGAACTGATGTCTGAGGGACAAAAGAGTGCTGTAGCATGGCCACACGCCTCTTCTGCGTGAGTTGTAGGCCACACACTGGAATCAACGGTTTGGGTTCAGTATTAAAAATCCTCAGGATCAAGGAAGAATGAGATGCAATATCTGAAGACTGTAGAAGCCAGGTCGTTAAGTATATTCTATTCTGAGATAGATTTCTCATCAGTAGGAAAATCAAAGGTTTTGGGAAGAAGGCAGGAAAGTGGAGTTGAGGATTATCAGATCAACCATGATGCCATTGAATGGTGGAGCAGACATGATGGGTTGAATGGCCTAGTTCTGCTCCAGCATCTTATGGTCAATAATTACTCACTGACATTACACAGGTTGTTAAAGTTTCTCTGTAGTCTATTGTTCAAAATCTGATCTCTTTTGGCCAATAGGTGCGAGAATGAGGTAAAAGATGATTTTGTAATGTTACACTGCAAGTGTGACGAAGAGAGAGAGAGAGGCATCTGAGTTCAGTTTTGAATAGGAGATCAGGAAATAGGAATGTTTCTCAATTCAAAATAACCTTGGCCCTGAGAAATCTTGGAGTACAGTGAGGCAGTTCTGAGGCTTACTCTTGAACAAGCTTGGTTGGTGATCAAGTAAGATGAATCTGTATTAGTTGCAATTTGTATTGCTTGCTGCTTAAATGGTTCTGACAGGAAGTAAAGATGAAGAAATTAATAAAACAATTTAAAAGAGTGAGGACCACAATATAACCAAACCCAAACAATATATGGCCCAGGGTTGTATAGATTTTTTTAAATGTTATCTGTAAAACCTTTCTCATGTGAGGCAGTGATGTCAAGTATATCAGCAACGACTAAAACAAAGGAAGAGAAAGTGTTCTATCTTCAGACAAAGCCACATGTATTCCTCTTCTACACTTGCCAGCTCATGACTTCCCATCCATTCACTACAATGGAAGTGAGAAGTGTGGCCGGTGAATGGAGAAAAAGGTGTCTCTGGTCCCACTTTGCAATTGGTCTCGCGCTGGATGTGGTGCCCAAGCCTGAGGGTCACAGGATGCTACCACTCCAGCTCACGCATGTCAGAAATTTCACTTGAACTCTCTGGCTAACAGTCACATTGGAGAAATTATCATTTTCACAACATCTTCAAACACCTTGACATCCCCTCCACCCAACTGGTGTTAACAATCTGCATCAGTGCATTTATCGGTTGTGTTTTGACTCTTGGATTTGTTCTGGACCTGAGCAGGAGTGGTTCTTTGGTCAGGTGTTTCTGATGGACTGCTTATGGGCATAAGGATTCCCTGGGGTTGACCATTTTCTTGATTAGTTGAACATTTTCTCTTCGTTTCTTCAGGACTGAAAGAAATAATAATCATATTAAATACAGGGCAGAAACAAAAGTTTGTATCATACCTTTAATGGTTATGTGAGAAAAGGAAGAGGTCATTCAGCCTCTTAAGACTGCATTAGTTCATAGCATGGTCTGGATCTTAATTCTATTACCCCACCTTTGCTCTGCATCCTGTGATACCCACAAAATGATCTCTGTCTAGGAACTTTCAATTATTTCAGCACCATAGCCTTTTTGTGGAGAATGTTCCAGATTCCTTTAGCTGAAGAAATGCTTTCTGATTTCACTCCTGAATGACCTCTCTCTAAATCTAAGGTTATGTCCCCTTGTTATATGTTTCACCACCAGAAATAAGGTGCTATGATGGCTCAGTGGTTAGCACTGCTGCCTCACAGCACCAGGGACCTGGGTTCAATCACTCAGGTGACTGTCTGTGTGGAGTTTGCACATTCTCCCGGTCTCTGCGTGGGTTTCCTCCCACAGTGTGCAGGCTGGGTGGATTGGCCATGGTAAATTGCCCATAGTGTCCGGGGATGTTCAAATTAGGTGGATTAGCCATGGGATATGCAGGGTTACAGGGATGGGATTGAATCTGTGTAGGATCCTCTTTGGAAGGGTGGTATGGACTCAATGGGCCAAGTGGCCTGCTTCCACACAGTAGGGATTCCATAAAGCTAAAAGTTTTATTTTATTCATTCATGGGGTGTGAGCGTCTCCTAATTGCCCTTGAGGAGGTGGTGGTAAGCCTTTCATGAATCACTGCATTCCATGTGATATATGTAAGACACTCAGCGCTCTTAGGGAGGAGGCTTCAGCAACAATGAAGGAGCAGTGAAATATTTCCAAGTCGGGATGCTGATTGAATTGGAGGGGAACTTGCAGATGGATTTATGTTCCATGGTGCGTGATGACCTTGCTTTCCTGGGATGTTTGGTGTTGTATGTGGGTTCATATTCATAGAGATTTAAACACTGAAGGAGGCCATTTAGTTGTCCCATCATGTCTGCACCAGTCAACAAAGATCTAACAACACTAATCCCATTTTCTAGCTCCCGGTATATGGCCTGGAGGCTATGGCAATGCAAGTGAATATCTAAATACTGTATCAGTGTTACAAGAGTTTCTGATTCAATCGCTCTTTCAGGCAGTGTTCCAAACTCCCACCACCTTCTGAGCAAATTAAATAGCCTCAACTCTCCTAATCCTCTTCTACTTCTTACTTTAAAGCTATGCCCCTGGTCATTGACCCCTTAACTAATGAAAAGGTGCCTTTTTATTCACTCAGTCTGTGCTCCTTATGATTTTATACACCTCTATCAGGTCCCCTCTCAACTTTGACTGCTCCAAGCAAAATAACCCCAGTCCAACCAATTTCCTTAGACTTTCCAGTCCAGGCAGCACCCTGGTAAATTGCCTCTGTACCCTTCCTAGTGCAATCATATTCTTTCCAATAATAAGGTGACCAGAACCAGGGCCCTCGATATGTCCTCCCTTGCTTGCCTCAACAGCCTGGGAAAGATCTCATCTGGATTTGTGGATTTATCCACTTTGAAGGCCACTAAACCCACTAGTGCCTCCTCCCTCTGTGAGTTCTTTGTAATATTTCACAGCCCTGCACCCTGATATTTATACCTGCTGTCATTTTCCACCGTAAAGACTGAATCAATGTATACATTGAAAATTATGCCCACATCTTCTGGATTCACACACAGATTACGACTATGGTCTTAAGATATTCTCTTGTTCTCTATATATTTGAACCATCCCTGCTGAAGAGGGATATTCTAGGAAGCAGATCTAAAGGATGGGTAAAATGAAGGTAGGTGTGAAGTTTATTCGTCTGTGCCCTGAGGATCTGAAAGATGTTGGTTTGATCACTGTTGTTAGAGTTTAAGTGGACCGTGTAGCTATGGTAACAGAATTGGAAGAGGTTGAGATGGGCTAAGTGCGTGATCATGGCTCCATTTTGTTACTTTTGATGTCACTTTGGTGTGTCTTTTGACCTTTCAAAGACAATATGTGGAAAGTTCTTGCTGCTACCTGGAAACAAGCAGTCAGGAGTGCAGTCTTATTTCAGACAAGTGCCTACAACCTGACGTATTTGTAGTATTCATGAAATATCGAGATCAAAATTACAAGTAGTTTTTAAAGTTTTGAATGATCCACTGTATGTTATGGTCACATTGGTTTGCCAAGTGTCATGTGCCTGAGTTCTTATAGTGAGTGGTGAATTCAATGAAGAATCATGTAATTATATTGGAGTGGCATGGTATGGTTTGCCTGAGATTTCCTACTGGATCATGTAACATTGAGATGATTAAAGAAGTGATACTGTGGTTAAAACAACTAGTGTCTGTGTGTCTTGCATTTAGTGCAATGAAACAAAACAGAAGCCTAGCTATCGTATCTTGTTAGTATAGCTGGTGTACACCACAGACATGGTCTGAAAGGACCCACGTGTTTAAAGTGAAGGATGGGGTGCTGGTTAAATTAGTCATTTGGATCTGAATGATGTCAAGCTTTTTGAGTGTTCTTGAAGCTACACTCATCCAAGGCAAGTGGAAAATATCCCATCATTGGGATTTGTGCTTTTTGGATGGTGCACTGGCTTTAGGAAGTCAGGTGGAGAGTTACTTGCTGCAGAATTCACAACCTCTGATTTGTTCTTGTAGCCATATCATTTAAATGGCTCATCCAGTAAAATTTCTAGTCGGTAACCCCCCCACACATTTAATGGTGAATGTTTCAGCAATGGTAATGCCATTTAACATCAAAGGCAATAGTTAGATTCACTCTTGTTGGAGATGCTCATTGCCTGGAACTGTGCTGCTTGAATCTTTCTTGCCAAACGTCAGTCCAAGCCTAAATGTTGTCCAGGTCTTGTTGCATGTGGGTACAGACCATTTCAGTATCCGAGGAATCGCAAATGGAAGTAGATGCTCTGCAATTTCAGGAAATACCCTAATCTGACCTTCTGATACAAGGACACATGGATTAAGCAGCTGGAGATGGTTGGGCCTAGGACACTGCCCTGAAAAACACCTGAAATGATGTCCTCATCAGGTTTTAGAGTAGATTTGTAGCTCGGGTTTTGGATGCTGTGGTTGGTTGGCTCGCTGAGCTGGTTTGTTGTTCCGCAGACGTTTCATTACCCTGCTGGGTAACATCATCAGTGCAGCGTCCAATGAAGCTTCATTGGAGGCTGCACTGATGATGTTACCCAGCAGGGTAATGAAACGTCTGCAGAACAACAAACCAGCTTGGCGAGCCAACCAACCACAATGATGTCCTCGTACTGAGATGACTGACCTCCAACAATCCCAGCCAGATATGATTCCAACCAGCAGAGAGCTTTTCCCCTGATTCCCGTTTACTCTAGTTTTGCCAGGGCTCCTTAATGCTCCATTTGGTCAAATGTGGCCCTGATGTCAAGGGCAGTCACTCTCATCTAACCTCTGGAATTTAGTTCCTTTGTTGGACAAAGGCTTATAATAAGGTCTGAAGTCCAGTGATCCAGTCAGATTGCTACTGAGCCCTGATGAGTAAGTTCCACTTGGAAGTCCTATCAATGGTAACTTCCACCATTTTGACAATGTTTGAAAGTGGACTGATAGAGCAGTGATTGACTGAATGATTTATCCAGCTTCTCATTGGTCGGACACATTGCCCGCATTGTTGGATAGATGGCAGTGCTGTAACTGTACTGGAATAACTTGGCTGAGATTGCGGCTCGTTCTGGAGCATAAGTCTTTAGTGGTACCACCGACGTATTGCATGGCTTTTGCAATGTCCAGTTCCTTCAGCTGTCCCCTGCTACCAGTGGAGTGAGTCAAAGACTGGCTAGATATTGGCTTCTGAGATTATAGAGGTCTTGGGAGAAGATCAAGAGGGATTATCCACTCAACATTTTAGCTAAATATGATTATGAATGCTTCAGTTTCTCCTTAACCAACCAATCAAATGACCTTAATTAGAAGACCCATGAATCTTCTACAGTACTCAAGGAAATTCAAGCAAAGTTTGTACAGTCTCTTCTCATAATTTAGTCCTTAATGCTGTGGCATCATTCTCCATGCATTGTTGAGAAGCAAAACACTTCATAGGTTTGTCATTAAGGTAAAGGACTGAGTTAAAGAAAGAGGCATTTAGGATGGGTAATCAAAAGGATTAAGTTTAATAATTGACTTAGAGGAGAGGGAATGAGAGGAGATCAAATATAAAGTCTTAATTCTATAATGTGTGGCCGATACAACTAATGTCAATGTTGCCAAATAGTGTAGGGAAGGGAGGTGACAATCAGGGAAAAGTGGAGTTTAACAACAACGTACATTTATATAGTGCCTTTAACATAGTAAAATAGGCTTCTCAGGAGCCGTTATTAGACAACATTCAACAACAGATTGAATCACATCGTACAGGTGGCTAACAGCTTGATGAATGAGGCTGATTTGAAGGAACGTCTAAAGGGCAGAAAGATTGCAACATTTCGAGAGGATTTAGGGAATAGGCAGCTGAAAGCTGAGTTATTATTGAGTGGAGTGAAAAAAGTCAGGGAAGCAGAAGAGGTATGCATATGAACTCCAGCCATTGGATTTACAGCAACCGTTTGATGCAGGACATTATGTTTATGCTTCTGTCTCTATTTCCACCTTGGTCACTGTAAAATGAAGGATGATTCCTCCTTATTATAATAAAATGGGGCAGTATCATAAAAGCAGTGATTGATGCCTTAGCGCCCATACCTGGACTCCACTCACAAGTGGAAACACAGGACAAAAGCTTTTGTGTGCTCAGGTTCATTCTGCTTATTTTCTGATTTGGGGCCCAGAGATTGCAAATGTTGGCAGCAACAGTGCAAAGTCTGCTCAAAAGATGGGTTTCTGACTCTGGCCTAACTTGCTGGGAAGTTGCAGTTTTCAGTGCTTAATTGGTCAGTGTTTGTTTGTGAGTCTGGTAACTGATCTATGCTCACTGTATTCGATTGCTTTAAGCCTGAGGTGTGAACTCAAAGGTAAAGTAAGTGGACATGGCAGAAAGAATGAGAAACTAAACTGTAAGCATGAGTCAGATACTTTGTGCTTGCAAAGATGTTTTAAACTCTTTAAGTAAAGCTGCAGCATACTCAGGCACTAGTGTCATCTGTGTATTACACAGATGTATAAAGCATAAAATAAAGAAAATCATTAGCATCATCAGAGTGAATGAAACGTGTCTGCAAGAGTTCTTATCCTGATCAGCCATTCTACTAAGATGATTCTAAGGCTGTTTCCACAGGAAAAAGACAGAAGGAGCCTAAGATCTCTTTGCCTGAGCCAAGATCGATTACCTCAGGACTGGCAAAGTAAAGGGTCTTTTCTCATTGCCTTTAGCTGGCAGAGGTCTTCGAAAGACATAAAAGGTAGAATTAACTATGAAAACCCGAGAACTTCCACTGACTTGTTCCCTTAACGTAAGATTTTATGCAGGTAGCCCATCAGAAAATGGGAGAATTGAAAACATAGAGTAGAACCCGGTCAGATCCTGACATTACTTCATTTTCTACTTCCCATCTGGAATTCGGCTTTGACCTTGATCCTAATTTTGGGCCGGTTGCTCTCTCAGTATAATTAACTCAGATTAAACTTGCAATAAAATCAAACATTGAACTCAATAAGACCATCATTTGAAATAGTTCTACTGACTTTTCAAGCTGGCTTAATATTTTAACAGTGCACCGGAAGATAGATGGAGTCTTGAGGTGTCTCTGGGCTTGAGCCCTATTCCAGGCCCTCCTGGTCATTAAAGTCCATGTGCAACACGACCAAGAGGTTTGATTATCAGCCTGTAATTCTTTCCTATAACCCTGATGGCAGGCACTAAGTGCAGCACAGTCTCGTGGGCACCCATCTTGCAGAAGGCTATCGTCCAACCACAGCAACTCTTTCCCCAAACGTGCTGGCTAAACAAATGAGAGTCCATGACCCAGTCCTGGAATCAAGGGCAAGGGGCTAAAACAGATGCAGGACTATGTCTCACTTTGAACAGGAACATATTGGGAAATGATTTATCAGAGCTGGAAGTACTTTATTAACAATGGACGGTGTGCAATCTGGAACTGCCTATATTCACCTGTGACAATCACTTTAATTTAAACATATGTCTAATTTAATGCATACCCAAGTGTTCCATTTACCAGAGGAGTCAGAGTTTTACCTTCTTGAGGTGCTGTTATTCTGATCCTCGGTTGCAGCAGCCTGGTGCACAGGACTGAACTCCAGGTCATTGCTTTTTCTTTCATCATTGTCCTTCAGGATGAGGGATTTGGAAGAAGCAACTTCACTGGCATCTGTTTCATTTCCATCTGTCGATGTAAGGGCTGCATAAATTCTCCTCATTCATGTATTACAATTGAAAAAGGCATAATTTTATTCTATCCTAACAAAGCAATTTTACATATTTAAGTTTAATTGGAACAGGGTGAGCCATATCAAAGCAATTAAGGCTTCTCTTTAAACAATGAACAGAAGAACACTGAGGAAGTGTCACTTGATCCAAAATGTTAACTCTGATTTCTTTCCACAGATGCTGCCAGACTTGTTGAGCTTTTCCAGCAATTTCTATTTTTGAACAGAAGAACACATATTTCTGATCACTCTTGTATTGGTAAAGGAAATGAAGGCCGGGGATGCAGTATTTTATTTCCTGCTCCAACTCCAATTTGATTTAGTCCCTTCCTGCTCTCCCTACCCCTCTCTCATCATTGATGGTTTGCATTGGCTGTAATGGGCTTTGCTTGTAGATACTCAATTGGTTACACAAGTATTTTTACTGGTGGTAGTTATTAGATAAAGAAATACAAAAAAAAACCAAGAGTCACAGTGATTTTCATGGTGTGACGGTTGTGTGTGGTAACATTTCTGGATAAAGGAACTGAAGCAGATGCTGTGTATATGGACTTCCCAAAAACCTCAAATTGCTGTAGAGGTGGCTTGCTGATAAAACTTAGATGTGCGATAGTAAAAGAAATATGGCAGCCAGTTAGAATTTTGGTAAAAGAATGAAAAACAAAGATTAATTAATAATTAGTGGATGTCCTTTGGACCACAGGGGAATAAATATCAGAATGCTCAGCATTGTTATTCATGATTGCGATTTGGACATAAGGGACATTATGTGAAAGCTTGCGCATTAACAAAGTCAGTTTGTAGTTAATTGTGAAGAGGTCTCCAAGGAACATAAAGAGGAAATAGGCAGGTGAGCTAGGAGGCAGGCCTTAAGAAATGAGTGCACTTTTCATTAGAACACAAAATTAAGAGAAAATCTGATCTGGTGTCAGAATAGAATTCAGTAAGATAAATATAGAAAATAATTTATCTACATTGGTCAGTAGCTCAAACTTTAAAGTTAAGATTATTGAAGGAACAAAAGGACTGATAGGCAAAAGTTTCAAATGTGAAGTATTTTTAAGGATAGGAAAGATTTGTTCCAAAACTAGTGAAATCGTTTTTAAAAGAGAATGGGATAAATGATCACCAATAAAAGTTTCGAAGGACCAAGGGAAAAGGCAGGAGAACTGGATTGTCTATGTATCTGTTTCATAGGGCTAGTATAGGTGTAATGGGCCAAAAGGCTCCTCTTATGCTGCTAAATGCTAATAAACGTTGCTGAACATTTTTTCTTTCATTTTGTGTGATTTGGGCATCACTGGCTGGGCCAGCATTTATTGCCCATCCCTAGTTGCCCCCTTGAGAAGGTGGGGGTGAGCTGCCTTCTTGAACCGCTGCAGTCCATGTGCTGTGGGTTGACCCACAATGCCCTTAGGGAGGGAATTCCAGGATTTTGACCAGCAACAGTGAAGGAACGGCGATATATTTCCAAGTCAGGATGGTGAGTGGCTTGGAGGGAAACTTGTAGGTGGTGCTGTTCCCATATATTTTCTGCCCTTGTCCTTCTAGATGGAAGTGGTCATGGGGTTGGAAGGTGCTGTCTGAGGATCTTTGGTGAATTTCTGCAGTGCATCTTGTAGATAGTACACACTGCTGCTACTGAGCATTGGTGGTGGAGAGAGTGAACTCTGACCACCTCACAGCTGAGCCTGATCCCTTTCTGACCCATCAAACATATACATGCATGATCCATGGCTGGGTCCTTGATCTAGGTCAGGAAAGGAAAAGTGAGCTGTGACTTCTTTCTTGCCTATCCTAGGGGCACGAAGACCATTTCCAAAGACCATCTACAACTACTGCAGCAGTTGACACAGCACTGAATGGAACTGTGCCCCCTGCAGTTTGTATGGTTCATCTGCATGTTTTTAAGCATCAGGCCAAACATAATGATGCTATCATGCATGTTGAGTTTGATTGTGACTTAAACTTTCCGCCAAGAATAACTGCCTTTGTAAGTTACAATTGAAAACTGAGAGAAAACAGACATCCAAAAGTTTGGCGACTCTTTACCTCTTGGACTGTAATCTGAAGTTTGTTTCCGCCTCCGTCTCAGGACAACCTCCAGCTCATTCTCCGTCTTGTTCTGACTTGCGTCTGGAAACCCCCGACTTGGGCTCTTCTTCATTGAATCCTATGAATAGGTAATGAGAAATCAGGGGCACTACATATCACACTGAGTGCTACCAACCTCCATGCACACAAAGCAGTGATATCAATGTGAAGTGGTAAATTTCACTTATAAGTGATAACTTTAGACTGTTAACTATTTAAGTGCAGAAGTGACTTGGCCCTAGTATGTTGATGGTGCGTGTTAGTTTATGGGTATCAAATGGCACCTGAGCTGGTTCATTCACGGCAGGAATCATTGGTAAAGCCTTGTGCATAAATCAATGTCTAAAACAGGCAGTAGACCCTTTGCATATTTGAATAAGGACCTTAATGCTAGTTTGAGAGTTTCTTTGTAAAGTGCTTCAGCCAGTCATCTTTGGTTCAGGGGTGCCATCCCTAAAGAGACAGCGAGATGTTACCTCCAAAAAGACGTGTTTTTCTTTATCGGCTGTCCTGAGAGCGTTATATGAATACGCCTTATTAAATTCAGATGCTGCTTCTGGCTTAGGTACCTCCCAAAACCAGCAAGCAGCCACAATTGGTGCAAATAAGATGCATGAACCAATTTCCCCTGTTCCTGCCATAGGCTTCATTGGATATAATCAACATGATCCCAAAAGAATATGATCCAGCTTATAGTGTTCTCACTGTTGCAGTGTCGTAGAGCAGCCAAAAGGCATTGCAGTGAGAGGCAAGGAGAATGTAGTTAAATTAAAGCTTTATTCAGCATTTCTGTGAGTCAAATTAATATAAGTAACATTATTGAAAAAGTGTGTTACTTAGAGGGTTTTCTCTTATATTCCCTACAGAGTGAGAGAACTTTACAACAACATACTTAATCACTGTGTTAGTGAGATGTTGCCCAATATTAGACAGTATTACAATAAGAGTAGTGCTTTATCAAATAAATGAAGATTGGAGGGGTTTCAATGAGTTATATATTATATGGTGTTACAGTGAAAGTTTACCTTAATAGGTAGAATACTTTCTCTCAGATGGTATAAAAGTTAGGAGCCATTATGTTGAAGAACATTGCAGTGAGTGTTGCATTAGATTAAACAGTAGGCAAAATTTAATATACACCCCTGGTTGGCATGGTGGACCAGTGGTTAGCACTGCTGTCTCACAACACCAGGGACCCAGCATCTGAATTTAATAAGGCATATTCATCCTTCACATTGAGGACAGTCAGTAAAGAAAAACTCGTCTTTTTGGAAGTAATCTCCAGCAGTGTCTTTAGAGATCCCACCCTTGGGCGACTGTCTTTGTGGAGTTTGCACATTCTCCCCGTGTCTGTGTGGGTTTCCTCCGGGTGCTCCAGTTCCCTCCCACAGTCCAAAGATGTGCAGGTTCGGGTGGATTGGCCGTGCTAAATTGTCCTATAGTGTAATAGGGATGTGTAGGCTAGGTGGATTAGCCATGGGAAATGCAAGGATAGGGTAAGGTGTGGGGGGTGGTGGATCTGTTTGGGATGCTCTTCGGAGGGTCAGTGTAGACTTGATGGGCTGAATAGCCTTCTCCACACTGTAGGGATTCAATGGAGGTGGTATTTTTAACATTTAAGATCAGACCGACAGAGAGAGACATGTACTTTTTGAGTGTGTGTGACAGTTTGTTGTACACGATAATCTAGCAGAGAATTGTTAGCTCTCATTGTCGCTGTCATGGGAATTGTGTTATTTGAGAATTAATGAATAAAAGGAATGTTGACAAATCTCAGTGTACCACAGCAAGGAATAGCTATTTCAGATACTGGAATAACTAAGGTTACATTATAATATATTTGACTGTGATGAGTATAATGTGGAAAGGTTAGTGCGTGTCAAAGTAATTATGTGAATAATTTACTGGAACCTGTTATTGACAATGCAGTATGTGTTTTGACAGGAGGTCTGTCGCTGTCTCTTCGCGTGGCATTTAATAATGGTTAGCCTTATTTCTGACCACAGTAGTTAAGCTCAAATCAGAAAATCAGCTCCTAATTCTGGGTGGACACTCACAGCGATTCGTTACGTTACTCAGTAAATCTGAGGTGATGATACTGGTCCAACAAACAGCTATGACGTGAATAATGTGTTTAATTGAGGAATTAGTTGGTTATGACACCAAGATTTTAGGACACCCACTGGAATAAGCACAGCAATACAGTCCCTGGAATTCTCAAGGTAAGGGAGCAGATAGTGACTTTCCTGGTTGCTATGGGACTTCTAATGTTCACTTGATAAATGCAGTCAAGTCTGATTCATCCTGACCGTTGCTGTATGCTTTTGCTTTATCTTTACAGATAGCACTTAAAGCTGTGGCTGTTAACAAAGGGTTAAATTTGTTCTCTCGATATTACCAGGATCCCCTTCAGCTCGTCCATGGCACTCTCCTGTGTTTTCTCATCCACTGGTGGTGGCTGTCAGGGGAAAAGCAAACAGACTGCAGGTATGAATGATGGTATTTGCAGTGAATCTGCTCCCCCTCAGTTACCCAGCACATGACATCCTGCTGAGCCTCTCTAACATCCCTGCGGCCTGTTAGTCTCTTGCTAATTTTACCAGTACAGCTGTCTGCCATCTGCTACCCCAGTTTAAACAGCCGAAGATGCTTGCTTCCAAACGTCCCCTCCTGCCAATTTCTATCAGGCACAATGTTTCAGACTTTCAATCGGACAGTCTTGTTCATTATTAATTTTATCCGCAATTGAGTAGAAATTGCTCTATCCAGGGGGAGGAGGGGAAATCTTTGCCAAGTGGGTTCTCAACCTGTTCCAGAGAGCACGAAATGTGATAGCAAGCCATATTTTATCACCTCAAAGGGTGGGAAAAGTAGCCTCGATTCTAGCCAGTCTGTCATCTCTTCACCTTGCTACTTTCAGTCATGCTGACTTGTAATTATGGGATTGCCATAGAACTAGTACAGTCATATTCCATGAGACAGAAACCTGCTGTCCTCATCCAGTCTATCTTTTATGTGACTCCAGACCTACAGCCATACAACTGACTTTCAATTTTTGTCTGAAGTGGCTTTGCAAGTCATGGAGCCATACAGCACAGGAACACGCCAAACCAAATCCCAAACGAAACCAGTCCCACCTGACTGTTCCTGGCCAGTATCCCTCCAAATGTTTCCTATCCATGTACTTATCCAAATGTCTTTAAAACTTTGTAATTGTACCCGCATCCACCAGTTCCTCAGAAAGTTCATTCCACAGTCGAACCACCCTTGGTGTAAAAAATTTGCCCCTCGTGTCTTTTTAAATCTCTCTCCTCTCACCATAAAAATATACCCTCTAGTCTTGAAATATCCCATCTTAGGGAAAAGGCACTCAATTGTTTAAGCATAGCCTTGTCATCCATGCTCATATGATGTGTGGAGGTGCCGGTGTTGGACTGGGGGGGACAAGGTCAGAAATCACACGACATCAGGTTGGACATCAGTCCAACAGGTTTATTTGAAATCACTTCACCCGATGAAGGAGCAGCACTCCAAAAGCTTGTGATTTCAAATAAACCTGTTGGACTATAACCTTATCCATGCTCACAGACCAAGAATGACCATTAGAAAATAACTATCACCATCACGTTTGCTTAATTTTTTATCTGGAAAAAGTTACTAAAAGCTGACTTTTTTTTTAACAGAATCGTAACGATCCAACAACAAGGTACCCAAAATGGATCATGCACTCAAAGATGTAGAGGCTTATAATGTTTAGGTTTTTATGAATATAATCTCTTTTGGCTGATCAGCTCTAATTTTTAAAATATTAAACATATCGGAGCTCAGGTAGCCATGGAAACAATAGCAAAGCAAGATCAATGTCAAAGGTTATATTCCCTCGATTGATGTGTGTTAAGAGCTGGGCATCGCTAAGAAGCAACCTGCCAAACAGGTACAACTGTTATTACTGCTCCCAGAGGCTGTCTGAGCAGCTGAGTCCAAGCTGGTATGACTCAAGTGACCTCTCCTCCAAGTATCTGCACTGTTGAAGCTCACAGTCCTATCTCACTGAACCGCAGGATGTCAGGCCTCAAATGTTAGCGCATCAGCTCCCAGACTCCATTGTCGAAGAGAGACGTTTGGTTCTGACTTTGACCACTCATCCTCGCCAAGAGGAGTGTGAAGATCCTAGCAGAACCAGCCACTTCTAATGAAGAAAGATAATCGACATCCCATAACGAGGAATGCTAAGAAACAGCCCAAATCGGAAATCATTCATCCTAATCATAGAGTCATTGAGAATTACAGCACGGAAACAGACCCTTCAGTCCAACTTGTCCATGCCAACCAGATTTCGTAAATCAATCTAGTCTCATTTGCCAGCCCATATCCTTCTAAACCCTTTCTATTCATGTACCCATCCAGATGCCTTTTAAATGTTGTAATTGTACCAGGCTCCACCACTTCCACTGGCAGCTCATTCCATACACGCACCACACTCTGCGTGAAAAATTTGCCTCTGAGGTCCCTTTTAAATCTTTCCTCTCTCACTTTAAACCTATGCCCATCTAGTTTTGGACTCCCCTACCCTGCGGAAAAGACCTTGTCTATCCAGCCTATCCATGCCCCTCATGATTTTACAAGCCTCTATAAGGTCACCCCTCAACCTCCGACACTCCAGGGAATATAGCCTCAGCCTTTCCCTCTAGCTCAAACGCTCTAACCCTGGCAACATCCTTGTAAATCTTTTCTGAACCCTTTCATGTTTCACAACATCCTTCTTATAGCTATATGTAATAAGTTTTAAAACTAATGTCAATAGGCTCCCCCAATAGGGCAGGTGATAAGTGCACTGAGCTAAACAGGCCAGAGATTGATTCAGCTACTCTTGGTTAGTTAAGAGGGCAGCGAGGGGGTCTGAATCAGCCAGTTCCCCATCCTGGTAAAACACGTGTCTAGGTTCAAAGTGAGAGCAGTACTTGGCTTGAGCTGTGGTTCATTCCATGTTTGAATTGGCCACAGTCACACTGTTGGCTGGACCTAAGAGGCAAAGAATTACCCCTCCTGGGACAGCAGAAGGCAGTCGGTGCTGTGGAATTATACCCCAAAGATCAACATCTGTACGGATGAAAGGAGGAAAGAAAATGAAGAAAAAGAGAAAGAAAATCCTTCCGGAGCTGAGAGATCAGGGATCGTTGCAGAAATGGGAAGTGTCACTATTGCTATTCCACGCAGAGTCATAGAGTCATAAGGCACAGAAACAGACCCTTCAGTCCTACCAACCCATGCCAAACATAGTCCCAAACTAAACTGGTCCCACCTGCCTGATCTGGCCCATATCCCTCCAATTCTCCTATTAATGTACTAATCTAAGTGCCTTTTATACATCGTGATTGTACCCACATCCAACACTTTCTCAGGAAGTTCATTCCACACACTCTCTGTGTAAAACATTTGCCCCTCATGTCTTTTTTAAAATCTCTCTCCTCTCACCTTAAAAATGTGCCTCATAGTCTTGAAGTCCCCCATCCCAAGGAAAAGACACCTGCCATTCACCTTATCTGTAACCCTCATGATTTGATAAACGTCTATTAGATCACCCCTCAACCTCCTACGCTCCAGTGAAAGAAGTCCCAGCCTTTCTCTGCTGGATCACAAATAACTTTTTAACGTCCCTGATATCATCTGTGGAAAACTGCAATGACAAGCTCAAAGCTATTGGTTAATTAAAGAGTTATTGCTATGACAAAAAAATCTTGAGCAGGCCTCAATGTGTTGCTTATGATTTGAGTTTTATTTTAAAAATAACTCTGAAGCCTCCCCTGTTGCCCAGGAATTGCAGAAGACCATGATAACAGGGCATTCCTGCCTGGTCAGTGTCATTGCAGTCAATTGTGAGAATAGCCTGGGGAAGAGGGTTCCAGTGGTTTCAGTCCCTGACTCATCAACCCTTTCTGCTTGCTTCCAATACACAGAGCAGGCTGGCTGTCTGGCAGATTGAAAACTTTCCCTCAACGGTCCTAAACAAAAATCTCACAATCGAAATCCCAATTCTCCCCTGAGATAGTAAGAACTGCCGATGCTGAAGTCGGAGATAACACAGTGTGGAGCTGGAGGAACACAGCAGGCCAATCAGCATCAGAGGAGCAGGAAAGCTGACGTTTCGGGTCGGGACCCTTGTTCAGAAATTCTCTGATGCTGCCTGGCCTGCTGTGTTCCTCCAACTCCACATTGTGTTATCCTGAATTCTCAAGTCCACAATAAAATTGATCAACGCAAATCAAAGCCTGACTTTAACCTCGTATCTGAAAAGAAAAGTGATATGGGGAAAAAAAATCATTCCATCAGGTTAGTTAAAGCTTGAGACAGGATATTTGGAAAAAGAATACCACCAATCCCATTCATTTGTGGCCTCAATTTCAGGAGGGGTTTCAAAATCTGCAAGGTGGTGCAGTTTGGTGGGACAGCTGCCTGGGATGTGCGAAGAAGAGAAGCAGGATTCCTACCTTGTTGCTAACTTTCCTCTTCAGACAGAAATCCACCAGGCAGTCAGTGAGAAAGAACAAGAGAGAAAGTGTAAGATCTCATATAATGTAACCCACAGTCTCACATTATCTAGGAACCAAATACATTTCTCATTAACAGCTAAGTCGATAAAGGACTAGGAAAAGATCCAAAGAAAAATAACTGAGAGAAATAAGTACAGATATATCAGGCCATTCAGCCCATCTAACACATTCTACCAAAGATATCTATCAAGGCATGTAGATGCCTCATGTATGATTTCCGTCTTTAATTGCAAATTGGGATATTTTTTGCCAATGTGATTCCTGACATTATTCTTTTTAGAAACGAGTTTGTACCTATTTTCACTTGGACCATAGTCATTGTTTAACAATGGTAACCTGTCCAATCCTAACTAGTATCTGATTCACATCTAGGAACACTTCCTCTGGTCACTCTCTGTTGAAGAGTTTGAGGTTTTCTAACCACTCCTGCTTTGCTGAAGTTATATCAGTTATGGCTGACATGGTCAAAAAAATGGATCACAAGACATTTCATCAGTTCCTGATGCCCTCAAGATGTTCTGACTTGTGGTAAAGCAATGTAGGGTATGTATGTCTTTACTATGGAAGGAATAAGCTACTAAGATGCAAAAAAGTATTGTTATACAATGTATTTCTTAAGTCTGGCCAATAACCAGGTGCCATTTTTAAATCTTTCTCCTCTCACCTTAAAAATATGCCCTATAGTTTGGAACTTCCTCACTTTAGGGGAAAAGACCCTTGTCATTCACATTATCCATGCCCCTCATGATTTTATAAACCTCAATAAGGTCACACCTCAACCTCCGAAACTCCAGTGAAAAAAAAGCCCCAGTCTTTCCAGAGATAGTAGGAACTGCAGATGCTGGAGTCTGAGATAACAAGGTGTAGAGCTGGATGAACACAGCAGGCCAAGCAGCATCAGGGGAGCAGGAAGGCTGACATTTCGGGCCTAGACCATTTTTCTGAAGAAGGGTCTAGGCCTGAAATGTCAGCTTTCCTGTTCCTCTGATGCTGCTTGGCTTGCTGTGTTCATTCAGCTCTACACCTTGTTACCCCAGTCTTTCCAGTAGATTTTTGCAACTCAAACTCTCCATTCCTGGAAACATCCAGGCCAATCTCTTCTGAACCCTCTCCAGTTTAATAATATCCTTCCCATAACAGGGCGGCCAAAACTGGACACAGTACTCCAGGAGAGGCCTCACTAACATGCTGTACAACCTCAACATAACGTCCCAACTCAAACGGCCATGCAAAACATCAACAGTTGACTCAAATTAAAGTCAGTTTCTCCTCAAATACTGCAATCTATCTCAATGTCTTGAGTAGTCAGTTGAGGGTGTGAATAAGGAGACTCTCTGTCAGTTTTATTTCATGCAAAGTTCCATTATTATTTAAGTGATTTATGCTGCAAATAAAGTATAACAGTGATATGTATACCCCATGCATGCATTATGTTTTTGTTAGTTATTGTGTGTTTTACATTGATTACATGGACCTCTGGAATATTTGGTCAACCAGTTCACTCCTGGCCCCATAGGTGCTGGGTAATATAAAGTTTACGTATCACATATGCAAGTTTTGTCTGTTTTTCCAGCATCATTTACTTGATGGCGAAGCTCACATTTGTTTGGCTGGATATAGTTTGAGCGATACCATCAACATGAACATTGTAATTAAAACCCTTTCCTGTCCAGCATTGTGGCCCATTGGAGACACCAACAGCTACAATGTTCTAAATGGGGAAAGCTACGTTCATCTCATTCTACCCATCGTTTATAATGGCACTAGGTCATTGGCTGATCAGAACAAATGTCAAATCAAAGCGAAATGCCGCAGATGTTGGGTATCTGAAATAAAAACTGGGAGTGCTGGAGAAACTCAGCAGGTCACTGACTATGTTAATGACTATTACGAGGGGGTATAATTTTAAGGTGATTGGAGGAAGGTATAGGGGAGATGTCAGAGGTCAGAGAGTGGTGGGTGTGTGGAATGCGCTGCCGGCAGTGCTAGTGGAGTCAGATACTTTAGAGACATTTAAGTGATTCTTGGATAGGCACATGGATGACGGCATAATGTAGGGTATGCAGGGTAGTTTGATCTTAGTAGGGTAATAGATTGGCACAACATCGTGGGCTGAAGGGCCTGTACTGTGCTGTACTGTTCTATGTTCTATGTCAAGAAATGTCATCGTTTCTGCTCCTACCTGCTATCTTAGCACTGCTTTAAATGATTAAACAAGATTACAAAGCAAAACTGAGAGAAGCAGGTAACAATCCTTGTTGGCCCCATTCTCTGTTTACATAATTAATCTCTCGTCAGCTGAAGGTGGTAAAGATTTACAAGCAGATGATTATTTACACATATTTCTCACACCAACAGCAATTAATTTTTAATTGATCTCAGAATGTGCCTATTTATACCTATTGGACCCTGTAGTTTTAAAGGGTCTTGAAGGGTCCTCTTGTGGCTGAGTGGTAGTGTCCATACTGCTGGAGTGGGAGGCCTGGGTTCACATCCCACCTGCTCCATGGGTGTGTAATAACATCTCTGAACAGGTAGGGCCCTCTTCTGGTACAGTGGTAGTGTCCCAACCCCTAGACTGGGAGGCCTAGGTTCAACACTCACACACTCCAGAGGTTTCTAATGACATCTCTGAATAGGTTATTAAATAATACCTTAAAGGGAATACACATGTTGATAACAGGCCTAACTTTGGGGAGCGATTATGTTATGAGATACCATTTCCTTTAACTTGGTACATTAACTTCTTGGGAGATTCCATTACATGCAAAATTTTGAGTCTTGACATTGAATGATTTCTGTCTTTTTTATCAACACAGGAACATATGAAAGGCCCTAAAGGGTGTGTTTCCTTATCACAAAGCAGCAGGCATGAATTCTGCAGGAGAGTAGTCTGATAGCCTTTTATATCCAGTAGCTGCGTTCCCATTGCTGCCAGGATGTATAGATGCATAGAACTGTACAGCATTCAATTCAACTCATCCACACCGATCAGATATCCTAAATTAAACTAGTCCTATTTGCCAGCATTTGGCCCCTATCCCTCTAAACCCTCCCTATTCATGTACCCATCCAGGTGCCTTTTAAACGTTGTAATTGTACCAGCCTCCACCACTTCCTCTGGCAGCTCATTCCACACACAAACCACCCTCTGCACAAAAAAGTTACACCTCAGGTCCCTTTTAATTCTTTCCCCTCTCTCCTTAAACCTATGCCCTCCAGTCTTGAACTCCCCTACCCTGAGAAAAAGACCTTGGCTACTCAGGAACAAAAACAGAAGTTGCTGGAAAAGCTCAGCAGGTCTGGCAGCATCCGTGAGGAAAAAAGTTAGAGTTAGCGTTTCGGGTCCGATGACGGTTCCTCAGTTCTGATCTTTTTCTGACGAAGGAGCAGTGCCCCGAAAGCTTCAAATAAACCTGTTGGACTATAACTTGGTATTGTGTGACTTCAGACTTTATCTGAAATAAACTAGAAGAGCAAAGATTTTAAAATTGTCTGCTTCAATTATATTCTTTCCACGTTGTCTGTCGTTACCTATAGAGTAAGGTACATTGTAACATTCCCAATCCAAGCAATCAAACTGAGGTATTCCCTGTGTTTTTGATGAGATTACTGAGAGGGGAGCATATTGCTGCTCAGAAACACGTGAGGCTTTTTATTGTCTCACACCACATACAAACATAATCACACTTTGAGAACTCGCTGACAGTCAGCAGAGCAATCATTAATGAGTCACTTATTAAAATTCCACAAGGGTTCACTCCCCCATGGAAATGGCTGGGTGAATGGTATTTCTGATCTGGGAGACCATGCTGGGGAACTGTTTGCTAAAAAAGGTCGCATAGCTCCAGAGGATGACAGATAATATATGGTTAGATCAGACCAGAGTGCTACCCTCTGAATAACTGTGCTTCATTCTATATCATTCATACTGAAAAGTACAAAAAAAATGTCAAATATGCATAGCACTGTTTAGCTATTGTTTAGCTTTTGTCTAGTTTTGCATTTTTTTTTAGCTTGTCATTGTTTCAAAACATGGCACACACTGTTACTAAACAGCTAAGTATGCACGCTATTCCAACCCTCAGACTAGCCTCCAAATTACTTTCAAAAAATGCACCAAGTAGCACCTGAGACCCATTTATAGAATGGTTTGCTCTCCTCTGAACTGTCAATTCTTTCTACCTTTGCATTTTTGCTGTCCCTCGATTAAATGAATGGAATGTTGGATCTACTTGTTAAACAAGTCCTTTATTGTATTTCCGGTTCTTCCAAAGATCGCATTGGGAGGATTTAGATTTATCATTTGTTGGGAGAGATTTTTATTTCTGTCTAGTTTCTTCACTATGTTGGCAGATATAATCTTGATAGAATATTAAAATATTGTTGTCATCTCTAGGATAGCACTGAACTTGACTGGATGCCTGGTGAAGGGCATGGATGTCTCCCCTGTTTTAGTCCTGGAGTGAAAGACACTCAGCCAGTCTCAAACTACAGGGAAATATATTAGCTTCACAGTTGAACAATGGGGCTATCAAAATGGTTTGGGAATGATATGAACCAAACTCTAAAGGGATTTTACCTTTGAGACCTGAGCCACAGGCCGCAACATGACACCATGTTTTATCCGTTCCATCATTTCATTCACAGCTTTTACTTTCACGTCATCAATCCCAGTCTGGTCTACAGAAAAAAAGACAGACAGAGAAAATACAATGAAAGTATCAAACTTACTCAAAGCCACAATGAGCCAAGGCTGGAATCACTAACTCCACAGGTCCTTTCTCCTCCGTTATCTAAATATGCAGGAAAGTGTCCTTCCTCAGGGTGAGACCGATTGGGTTTTAATTTCAATTAAATCCCAGGATTTTTCTTCCCATTTCATATCTATTGAAACAAGGAGGACTCCTGTGGTGCAGTGACAAAGTCCCATCTGCTCCAGAGGTGTGTAATAACATCTGTGAGCAGGCTGATGAGGAAATATCTGCAACTGAGGAGATCTGAGCTCGTTCAGTGAGTAACATATTTGCAAAGGGGAAGGACACCTCACATTGATCCATATGAGTTCTGCTGTCTGTCCAATGATTTTGGCAAGGGGTAAAACGCTAAAGCAGAGCAGCTGTGAGTCGAACCGCAGCAAATTTATTTCATATGCCTGGGGTTAATTTCAACCGAATCCACCCAAAAGCCAATAGAAAGTAAAATCTGGCAGGTATATAACAAGCAGCTGATCCAATCCTATTGATTAGCACAGAGCAGGTAGCATTGAGATTTATGTCCAGCAATAAAGTGAGGCTGATTGCTTACTGTTGCTAGGTTCCGGCTTCGGTTGTGTCTTGGAATTCTTGGACGATCTTCGCACTATAGCGATGAGGGAACTGTAAGAGATACAGCATGAGCCCCAGCAGAAAATGAATCAGCTCTTCACAGGCAAAGCCATTCAGCTACCAACAGCTTAGCCAGTATCCTTCCACCTCCCAAAATATCGATACTACCGCTGATTTTTTCCACCATCTCGTTTGAAGCACTGGCCCCCGATTAAACCATTACAAACTTCCACCTCCCTGGTTACCCTGTTATGTGCACATTTTTGTTGCCTCACAGTCCAGACCATCACACAAGCCAACCTTCCATCCATTGACTCCATCTACACTTCCTGCTGCCTCAGAAAGGCAGCCTACATCATCTAAGACCCTTCCCGCCCCAGTTATACACTCTTCCGTCAGGCAGACGAAACAAAAAATTTGAAAATATGCATCAACAGATTCAAGAACAGCTTCTTCCCCGCCATTAGACTTCTAAACGGAGATCTCAAATTTCAAATCTAACGTTGATCTTGCTTTTTGTACAAAAACAGAAGTTGCTGGAAAAGCTCAGAAGGTCTGGCAGCATCTGTGAAGGAAAAAAGCAGTTAACATTTCGGGTGCGTTGACTCTTCCTCAGAAGCGGACCCGAAATGTTAACAGTTTTTTTCCTTCACAGATGCTGCCAGACCTGCTGAGCTTTTCCAGCAACTTCTGATTTTGTTCCTGATTTACAGCATCCGCAGTTCTTTTGGTTTTTATTTGCATTTTGTGCACCTTCTTTGCAGCTGTAACTTTGTATTCCTTGCTCTGTTCTATCACCCCATAATATTTGTATGGTATAATCTGCCTGTACTGCATGCAAAACAAAACTTTTCACTGTACTTAAATAAATGTTATAACAATAAATCAAACCAAACTATGCATCTGACTCACATATTCACCTCTCCATCATGTCTGACTGGACTGTAACAAGCTCAATTGGCCTTTTTCTCCCAATAGTTTAAGCTTCTTGTGAGCAAAGATGAATCCTGATTCCTGTCTTCACCAATCCTTGACATCCCTCCTCTCCCTTCACCCTCATCTCTCACAATAAGTGGGGAGGTATTCATGAAGTGACTTGTCATGCAGATAGAGGGCACTTATTCAGCTGCCTTTACTGTTTTCCCATGCTACTCCTGCCCACCAAGTCAATCCTAAATCCCCTCCTATTCTCCCCAGCTCCAAGGCTCAATCTCTTCCCAGTATCCTTCCCGCTATCTCCACATCCACTATAACCTCTCTCCTGCCTCTTTCACTTCCTTCTCATCTCTAACGGGACAAAGACCCCAGGTCCATACCTTATCGGGTTGCAACGTGTCGATGGAAGTGGAGGGGGAGGTGGAGGGGGAGGAGGGGGTGGAGGAGGAGGGGGAGGAGGGGTTGGAGTCGGTGGAGGGGGTGGGGGTGGAGCTACAGCCAGAGCTGGGTCAATCTCTTGAAACTTGATCTTCTTTAATTCTTTCACTGCAAAAAGACGTTGACACATGCTTTAATTCTTGGATTTTTTTTTGCTGCTGCCAATGTGTGGTGATGGACAGTTCATTTCTGAAACAGGGTTACCATCAAATTAAAAGTGTTCTCTCAGGCTAAATGTAGACATTCCACCTGGAGCCTGAAGGGACAATAATGCTGCACCAACAATAGCGTGCATTTATATATCACCCAAGGCGCAGTTGGTAAAGACCACTATCTGAGGTCCTTTTGCCAAAGTTAAATTGGGGTCCATTCAATTATCAAACCTCCCCCGATGTTCAAATGCATGCAAATGTAGTCTGGTTCAAGAAAGAGATGCCTTTGATTTGTTTGGAAACAATCAAACTCCAATGTTTGTTTGTTTCCCTGATATGTTACTGTACAGAACGAACTACATTTGTGATTATGTGTGTACATATATATATATATCCCATATACACATATATATTATATATAAATACAATATATAGGAAATTTTCATGAATAAAATTTATTTTGAAATTTAAAAAAATCACTTTTGGTGTAGTTAAATGTTCCAAAGTGCTTCTTTGGAGTGATATCAAATAAAATTTGATACCAAATCACATCATTAAATATTAGGATAGTAATCAAAAACTTATTGCTGAAGGCAAGTAAAAGACGAGCAGGAACTGTGGAGGCAGAGAAACTTGAACAGGGTATTTTCAGAAATTGGGGCCTGGGCAATTGAACGCACAGTCACCAATGGTGGAGTGATTTACATCAAAGATGCTGAAGAGGCCAGAGCCTGTTGAAGGCTTAGGGCAGTGTGTGTGTGTGTGTCTGTGTGTGTGTGTGTCTGTGTGTGTGAGAGAGAGAGAGAGAG